GAACATATGTAGTCCATGCAGAAATAGAAGTACAATGATGTACACCTGAAATTTTTGCAATGTTATAAACCAATGTTACTGCAATAAAAAAAAAAAAAAAAAAAGAATTGAAATCAAGTATATTTGGGTTTTAAGCCCAGCACCAAGTAATACGAACTTTCATGAGCCTATTTCCTAATCTCTAGTATATAGATAATAGCGTATATTATAGGGTTGTGGTGTAGTTTATTTACAATGATATATATAAAGCACACTGTCTGGCATAGTAAGCTTTTAACATTTGTTAGCTGTTATTATTATTATTCTATCCTGAATTATTTGGTTCCAAGACTTTTTTAAGGAAAGCCTGATGGATTTAGTAACCCCTTTAATTAAAAAAAAATTTTTCCTTTGTTGTCCAATTGCCTATCCACAGAGAAGACTTGAAGAAATGCTCTTGAGTAGGTAACTAACATCTACTTTCTGTTTCTGTGCTTGTTGTAGGGTGTACTCAGGCAGAAACTCAAGATGGTTATGTGAGCTTCTCCAACTTGGCAGTTTTGATCTCTGGGTCAAATTGGCACTTTATTTTTACTGTCATTTCCCCTCCAGGTAATTTCGGCACAGTGTGTTTTTATTATCTGCTTCTTGAAAAAAAAATAGCCCCTTCCCCTTTGTAATCGGAATAGCTCCTATCATGAATAAGAAGTCATCATTGTTCAGAAAAAAAATTCACTTGGTTATATCATTAAGATATGAGAAGCAAGACCACATAGAAATTAAGGCTCTGGAGAATCCTGGTAAGCAAGAACCCAAATGTACATTTTCCTCTAATTATTAAAATTTACTTTGAATATTCTACTTTTTTTATTTTGATAACATGTGGTTGGCTATTAATTGGAAAATTTTAATTTATAATAGAGTCATGGGATATTGAGTCTTATGAAATCTTCTCTTTCGGTCCTGCCCACCTCATTCACTGTTTCCCCACCCCGGAAGTGGTGACTACACTCATTCAATATCTGGTGCTTTAGAAATCCGGGTATAAGGTGTGTCTAAATTGCTTATATGATCCAGTTCTTCTTGACAAAACATTAAAAATATCTCTCTTCTGAAATACGTTTGATAATTTTTGCTTTATTAGAGGGTAATACTATTGAACAAGTTTGTGGTGGATCACACGTTAATTAAACTCCAAGCCAGATGAGCCTATGCAAAATACCACTTCCCACTTTTACAAAGAGTAGAGACAATCTCCTCCTACAGAGGAGTAGTGAGAGTGCAAATTTTGATATCCTATTTTTTTTTGTTTTTGGTGAGGAAGATTGGCCCTGAGCTAATGTCTGTTGCCAATCTTCCTCTTTTTGCTTGAGGAAAACTGTTGCTGAGCTAACGTTCATGCCAATCTTTCCCCTATTTTGTATGTGGGACACCACCACAGCATGGCTTGATGAGCGGTGGGTAGGTCCGTGCTGGGGATCCAAACCTGCAAACCCTGGGCTGCCAAAGCTAAACACGTGAACTTAACCACTACGCCACCAGGCTGGCTCTGACATCCTCTTTTTTTTTTTTTTTTTTTTGTGAGGAAGATGAGCCCTGAGTTAACATCTGTTGCCAATCCTCCTCATTTTGCTGAGGGAAGACTGGCCCTGGGCTAACATCCTTGCCCATCTTCCTCTACTTTATATGGGACACCGCCACAGCATGGCTTGACAAGCCATGCATAGGTCCATGCCCTGGATCTGAACCTGCGATCTCCGGGCTGCCGAAGTGGAGCACGCAAACTTAACCATTACGCCACCCGGCCGCCCCCCCCGACATCCTCTTTTTAAAGGATTGAATTCTGATAGAGACACAGTTATCTACTTGAAAAAAGTAATTTAAATATTGTATGCATTACTGTGATTTTCTAGGAAAATATTCCTTATCTAAGAGAGTACCTAAAAGGATTTAAAAATACTAAACATCATATTTGACCTGAAAAGTAGATATTTATAATCAATTATTAATTTTGTCAGGAAAGTTAGTTTGATATTTAAAAGACATGCAACTTTGGGAAGCAGTTAATGCACAAGTGTGATAATGCAAAGTTTTATAAAATACCTTAAAATAATCTTTACAGGATTTAAATCTCTTAGTTATTGGAAACAGCAAAGGAAATCAAATGTTTTGATGTGAGGTATCTGAAGCCCAACAACAAATATTTAATTGAGGCCTGATATGAGTCCTTCCTCATGAAACTTAAATTCACACTGTCTTAGTATACTTTTAAAAAGTTAAAAATATGGCTGTCATGAATATATAATGAGCACTTGTCAACAAGTTACTTAACTCATTAATAAAAGAACCAGCAGGATCGCAAAGCTGGTTTAAAAACATTTGAGAAATATAGATTATATAGCCAGGAAAGAACAGCTGAAATAAGTTTGCCAAATTGGATACAGGGCAATAAAACGGTAACCTTTGAGGTTACATGTCTACAAACATCATTTGCATCTTTACTGGACAAAAATCATTTGCAGCTTACCAATCTTCTGCAAATTAACAAGACTGGCCCCTAATTAATGTTAAATTTTAAGTCAAACAAAAGTATGTTCCAGAGAATTTGATAAAACTTGGATAAGCCTGTTTGAAAATGCTCCAGAGTGATCTGTAATCATTTTTTTCCCTTAATTCCAAGTTTTGGAACATTTTTCTTCACCAAGGGAATATCTTCTGAGGTCGGGTAATATTATCATTATTTTGTAGGGCAGATATCCTCTTAACACTTATGAAGGTGTCTTCATGTAAGTTGAGGTTCATGGAGAAACATGTTCAGTCAGTGTCATTGACCATGGGATTCCCAGGGGCATATTTTAAAGAGTAACATTTTAAAGAGTCTGCAGAGCTGGATACTTTGTCCCAGACTTGTTGGATATTTAAAAGACTTTTGCCCTTTAATTTCCTCAGTGGTTAACTAGGACTAACTAAATACTTCATCAATGTTACCTTAAGGAATAAGTTATAAAACCAAATGTAAAATGCAATGCAGACAGAAACTTCTCAGTAACACTTGTGCTTTTGAGCTGGCCTTGGTTTCACATTTGCTAGGCTATGACTTTCTTTTAGGTTCCACCTATAACTTGTCAAGTAGACTAACTGAGGAATCATTTAAAAGTTTTTTCTTTAAGATTTTTCCTTAAATTTTTCTTCATAATTTTCAAGACCAGGTCTATGAGGTGAGGCTCTACCAGAATGAGATTTACAAAAGTTTAAATTGGAAGAGAATAGATGGAAGATAAAAAGAAAACACTAAAAGCCTGCACTTCTGTGACTCATTGATATTATGTTCTTAACAGTACAGGTCCCGAGAGTAACTCCTTGTTTCCAGGTATATCAGTTTCTAGTGCCAGAATCATTTGGGAAAGCAGCCCTCATTCACACATTGATATGCCGATCAATGAAATTTCTTATTTCTAGCAGGCTTCAAAATAATGATGTGACCAGCATTGGTTCATACTGTTACTATTTCATTCATCCACAAATCAAGCAGAGAACTTGCAATCATTTTCAGTATTTTCACTCTTCTCCCTTAGAGTGAGGAACAGCTATCTTAGAGAGAGGAATACATCATTATTCCTATTTTATTTCATTATTTTTTTGTCTATATTATTTATTTATTTTTCTTAAAAATGAAGAAAAAGGACAGAATTTATTAATGCCCAAAAATGGCAGATATTGGCAGATGTGATTCCTGCTTTTAGATCATGGAAATTGGCAATCTGTCTTTCCAAAGTTTCTAATGTTTTCCATATCTTTATCTTTTTATGGAAATATATGTCACTTTAATCAATTTTTCATTAATCACTGTATACAAAGACATACATTTCTTCAGCTCCATAGATAAATCACAGACTTATAAAGATATTTCATTTCCTTTATGTATATAGATTCTTTACATATATTTATTTCTCGAGATATAATTGACATAACATTGTTAAGTCTGAGGTGTGCAACATGTTGATTTGACACAATATGATTGCCCCTGTAGCATTAACTAACACCTCGATCACGTCACATAATTATCATTTCCATTTTGTGGTGAGGACAATTAAGGTCTAGTCTCCTAACAACTTTTAAATTTATAATACAGCATTGTTGACTATAATTGCTATGCTGTTTTAGAAATAAAGAATTGAGGAACCGGGAAGTTAAATAGGTCTGACCAAGTGGGTATGGAATCCTCATAAGTCTTTCTGATATGTTCACTAATCCAACCCATTTATCCATTTCTGAACTTCCTGAGACACTGTCAAGAGGGAAGGGTTTCTATAAGTTTGTACTACTGCTGCCCATGCAGCCTTTCCACATTCACTATCATTATTGGGGTCTAGGCTCTGGTTTCTCCAACCATTTCTGGGCCCCACGACATGCTTAGGGGCTTCTCAGGGGCTGCTGGGCTGGGAAGAGATTGAGGGAGCCAGGCATGCTCCTGCCACCTAATCCAGAGAAGCTCTATTGTAGTTGCCATTTCTACACTTGGAATACTCTTCCTGCGGAAATTCACATGGTTCAGTCATTAGTTCACTCAGGTTTCTTCTCAAATGTCACCTCTGAGAGGCCTTGTCTGGATCAGTCAGTCTACAACACCATCCCCAACGCTGCTCCCACCTCCAGTTATTCTCTGTCTTCCAGCCTCTCTTTAGTCTCCTTCATGGAACTTAGCACTACCTGGCATCAGAGTATCTGTGTATCTGCTTGTTTGTCTGTTGCCTCTGTGCTCTGTCTCCCATTAGAACCTAAGTTCCCAAAGGGACAAGAAGACTTCTACTTAGTTCAGCGTTATATCCTCAGGGTATAGAAAAACCTGGCACATCATAAGCACAAATAAATAATATTCATATTGTTTATGAGTACGTGAGTATATTGAGATTATGTCTAAGATTACATTTTTAACAAGTGTTCTGCTGTTAAAACTATTTGAAAGCTGGTCGTCTCTTTTTTAGACCCAGATTACTGCTCCAGGCTTGTAAACTGCCCTCCCTGACTTCAGCCTCTCTGTCATTATTTGTGTTCTAAACACTTCTGTGGCCTGATCTTCTATATCTCACATGGCACATGCCACTTCTCAGCTCAGAATTTTCCCTTCTATGACACTTTATTGCCTTCAGAATATAGTCAAGGGCCTTTTGGCTAACATCTAATGCCCACCAAAATTTGTCTCAAAATGCTTTCAATCAATTCCAAGTATTTCCCAGCATTAATTTCCTAAACATCAGCTATTCTTTTCTCCTTTCAGTCTTTATTTGCTCGACCTTCAAAGCCCTGCTTAGATATTCCCTCTTCTCGAACGCTTTTACTGATCATATGAATGGAAAATAACCTTCCAACGCAATTGATTTGCATTATTCAGGTGGTGTGTCACATTCTGATTTGTATCACCAACATTTGTATGTGTATCTTATTTCATTTACTGGCTTGTAAATATCTGAAGCATGAGAACAGTAACTTATCCACTTAATATAGTAAGCAATCACTGAGCAATTATTGGAAAATGGATAAAAGATTGAAGAATTTTATTTTTACTTCTGTGAATCCCTAGTAAAACCCATTCCCCCATCTCTGGGCTAGATTTAGCTTATTAAGATGCCCATAAAAAGCAACTCATTGATAACAAACAAGCCAAACGTGGCTCAAGTATAAGATGTATACACAGGAGAACCATTCTAGCTAATCTTATTATGGGAGATTTGGGACTGAGTCAGCCAGGAGTCAAGAGACTGAAGACCTGACTGTGACTTCCAATCAAATTGTCAGGTTCAGCCCAAAGAAAGCACAGTAAAGAAAAACATGGTGTTTCCTCCAGTAGAGAAAATAAAAACTCTGTTTTTGCCTGAGGTATTCAGATGAAAACAGAGTTTGGCATTTGTTTGTTTTGAATGAGCTACTCAAAAATGCTGGCTATAACTAACTAAAATTCATAGGGAAGTATTTTTTTAATTTTTAGTTTTTGTATTGAAGTATAATTGACATATGATAAACTACACATGTCTAAAGCATGCCATTTGATAAGTTCATATGAATGTACACTTCCATGAAAGCATCCTCACAATTTGGATAATGAACATATTTATCATCTCCAAAATTATGGGTAAATTAAAAAAAAATTTATTAAAAAATAATATACGGTAAAATTGATCTTTAATGGTATCTCTTTTTATGAATTCAAATACATGTATGGATTCATGTAATCACCACCAGAGTCAGGACACAGAACTTTTCCAAAAAAATCTCCCTTATGTTATTCCTCTGTCCTCACATTCTCCTCTGCCACTACCACTAATAACTCTGATCTGTTCTCCATCTGTATAGTTTTGTCTTTTGTAGAAGGTCATTTAAATGGGATCATACATTATGTATGTACCCTTTAGAGATGGGCTTCTCTCACTAAGCATAATGCCTTTGATGTTCACCTCAGTCATTATAGATTAAGAGTTTCTTCCTTTCTTTCTTCTTTCCTTCTTTCCCTCCCTCACTCCCACCTTTCCTTCTTTCCTTTTCTCTCTCTCTCTTCCTTTCTCTCTTTCTTTCCCTCCCTCCCTTCCTTCTTTCCTTCTTTCCTTCTTTTTCTTTTTGGCCGAGTAGTATTCCTTTGTATGGATAAACCACAGTTGGTTTATTCCTTCCCCTGTTGAAGAACCTTTGGGTTGTTTCCAGGTTTGGGTGATTATGAATAGAAGTGCTATAAACATTTATGTACAGATTTTTGTGTGTCTAGGCAAGTGTTTTTTTAGATTCTTTTATGCTTTGTTTCAAAAATAACAATGGAGTGAGAACCAAATTTTAGTCTACTAAAAGAGGAAGAGTTTGTGGGGCTGGCCCCATGGCAAGCAGTTAAGTGCGCTCGCTCCGCTGCTGGCAGCCCTGGTTCGCATCCTGGGCGCACACCGATGCACCGCTTGTCAGGCCATGCTGTGGCGGTGTCCCATATAAAGTGGAGGAAGATAGGCATGCATGTTAGCCCGAGGCCAGTCTTCCTCAGCAAAAAGAGGAGGATTGGCAGTGATGTTAGTTCAGGGCTGATCTTCCTCACAAAAAAAAAAGGAGGGGGGAGGAGTTTGAGATGAATTCTTAGAAAGATGCTCTCTGAAAAGGAAGTCGCCCATTTTGCCCCGTCTTCCATAGCTAGGATGGCTCTGTCTATCAGCCACTGCTTTGCTCCCAGTTTTCTAGATAACGAAATTCTCATGGACGTTAGAAATTCTCTTGGCTCTGTAGTAGGAGTCCCTGAGCCCCTGTTTGGTGTGTTACATGCCATATTTTAAATAGCATAGATAAGTCAGAGCAAGTAGTTGCAGACATTTTGGAGCTAAGAGCATTTTTGTTCTAATCAGAGGAACATAGGGTGAAACTGAAATTTTGCATTGGTGGAGAAGGTAAGTCTGAGAATAAAAAGGTAAGTCTGAGAATAAAAGGGGAGAATTGGAAGAATTCCCCATCAGTAATGGACAAAATTGCAAAGAACAATTGTATGTTAATGTTGGAATTGCATTCTTGTAGTTCTTCAGAAATCCAAATCTTGGATTTATTATTGGTTGGTTTGTTTAATCATTTAATTTAATAAATATTTATTGAACCTACTAAGTGCCAGGTACTGCTGTAGGCATACCTTTTCCACAATATTTTCATTATAATAGTATCTTAGTAATATGTTATTATTGAGACTTTCTTTTTTTCACAGGGGCCAATTTCACGGCTCGGTCCAGGCCCTTTGCCATCTTACCTGTGACTATGTCAGAGAGGTCGACAATCATCCTGGCTGCTTCCACGTGCTCAGTGGTCTCATGGTTGGCTCTGTGCTGTCTGGTGTGCTGTTGGTTTAAGAAAAGCAAAAGCAGAAGTATGTATATATATTTTTTTGGAATGAAAATATTGGGAAAAAATGCCATCATGTACAATACATTAATGATTCTTTTTCTTCCCCCAAAGATAAATGTTTGTGAACCTCTGCAACATACTAAACCACATGGAGCCAAATTGTTCAATTCATACAGAAGAGACAAGGATTGCCTAATCTTAAATAATAATAGCAATCATAATGAAAGCTCATATTCATTGAATAGTCACTATGGACCAGGTTCTAAGTACTTTAGATACATAAATTTATTTCCTCCTCACAACAACCCTATGAAGTAGGTACTAAATACTATGTCTGTGTTACGGAGGTGGAGTATGAGACATAGAAAGGCTAAGTAACTTGCCCAAGGTCTCACAACCAAGAAGAAACTGGGCAGCTCGGCTTCAGATCCCACTCTCTGAAACACTGTGCTCCACTGCCCAGGTGACCCTCCAAGAAGTGAGTTCAAGAATCAGGGAGAAATGTCCTCTTTTCTTCCAGAAGAGAGTGCTTGGTATTTTTTTCTCTAGGAGTGTAGAAATTAAGTATATCCTTGAATATTTTCCCAGAAGTATCTTTTTTTTTTTTGGCTAGAATCACTGAGGAGAAAATATTCTGTGAAAGAGGCTTCTTTCGGTCTTTCCACTCTATTCTTTGAGTGGAGGAGAGAGGAGCAGATCAGGCTCTGGCAAATTCCTTACTACACCCACACCACACTCCCCAGACTGTCAAATGAGTGAAAGAAACACTTTGAGATACTAGGGGATACTAAAAAGACCAAAGTGATCAGCAAGAGTGAGTATAAAAGAGGGAAAATGAGGAGAGGCCAAGAAAGAAAGTCAAAATAAAGGAAGGAAAGAGGAAGAAGCATGATGCCACTACTAGAAGCTTAGATTTCTGAGAGATGCTGGGGACAGGCAGCCCCACTAGATGCACGCTTTATTTTGAACCCAGCTTCAGCCTGATATCTCTACCTCTATGCCTGTCCTGGTGATTTCACTGGACAAACTACAAGGAAACTCTAGGCTTCCTTGTCTTTCTCAAGATGAATGGGATCTCGTCCTGGGTGTTGTCTGTGATTGGTTGAACCACAGGATTTTGTTTTAAAATCTGAAGTTTTATCTGTGTGTGTGTGTGTGTATAGTGCTTTCTGGTTTAAAAGCAAAGACTTTCCATAATTTTTAATCTCATGTGATTCTGTGAAGTAGGTGATTTAATTCTCACCCTCCATTTTGTAGCTAAGCCCACTAGCATGGAGGGACCTCCCAGTAAGCTCTGCTCACCCCATCTCTTCCCTTTTGTTCCCCCACCTCAAGAGGAAGCTTCTTCCTGCAGTTACTGCTATATCAGTTCCCTCAGTGTCCTCTTTTTGCTCTTTAAACCTTTCAATATCTGTGAACACATTTCTCTGTATTAAATTCCCACATTTTCCTGACTGCACACAGACTCCTAACTTTCTTTAAAAAAAAGAAAACACAAAAAACTAAAATTGTAAAGAAATCAGAAGGAACTTTATGAAAAAATTTACAGTGGTCAGTTCTGTATGAGTAATTCGTATTATATCTTTCTGTATTTTTCAAACTTCTAAAATTAGTATTCATTCCTTTTGAATCAGAAAAATATATTGTTCCTCATCTTCTTCACAGAAGATGATTCTCTGATGCAGCTATATGGTTTATGTCTCAGTTCACAAATTTTCTTCTCAGGACCTCGCTACACTTTCAATAATTATTGAAAACCCCGAAGAGCTTCTGCCAATGTTTGTTGTATCTATCAGTATTTCCAAACTAGAAGTTAAAAGAGAAAATGTAAAATTTACTTATTAGTTAATTTTAAAATAACAATAATACATGTATTATGTGCTAACATAATTAACATATTTTTTACTTAAAAAATATGTTTTCAAAAAATATATCGTGAAAAGAATGTCATTTTCCAAACCTCTTTAATGTCTGCCTTAAGAGAAGTCAGCTGGATTTTCCTAACAGCTTCTACATTCTATGTGTTGCAATGTATTGTTGTGACTGAAGTATGTGAAGAAAATCCAGCCTCACACAGATACATAGTAGAAAAGGGAAGAGTATTTTAATAGCCTTTACAGACAGTTGTGGATATTCCTCTTTGTTAGTGCACCCAAACTGGACAAGAGGTAGTTACTTAAAGATACATCTCAATGTACTTTTCGTATTCTGTTATATGAAAATCCACTAGTTTATTCTATACCTTGAATCGAGCTTTTATCCATGAATGATTTTGAAAACTTACACTTTGGCCATTTGGAAAATATTGTTTCACTGAGTTATTCATATCTTCTCAATGTTGATGTATTTCATTCTACAATTTAAAAAATAACATTTGTTAATATCAACATGGATCTTCCCGAATTAGAAATCTGTGAAGCTCATAATAGTTAATACAAGTTTTCCAAAATTCTAAGTTTTCCCATGAAAGCTTGGATTTTATCATTGGCAACAAGTACTGTCAGTTGTTTCTTTGAAGTTCATTCAAAGAAGGCTTACTTCATTCAATTTAAAAAAATCTGCCAAATATCCAAGTATGATAACCATAATTTATCTTTCAATCATTGTTTCAAGGACTTTTAACGTAAAATGGTGTTCCACGAAAAAATCAACTAGTTCAGCTCAAACCTCATTCACGAAAGTGTTTTCCTTGAGAAAATCATCATATGTCATGGCATAGCATTATCTGCCATTATATTACAAATTTATTTGTTTATCCTCTGCCATCCAAACTGGAATAAAAGCTCTCTGAGGGCGGGGACCAGGTCTTTCTTACTCATCGTCTTTACACTGCCTAGAAAAGTGCCTGGTGTGAGAATGTAAATATATTTTTGATTAACGTATTTAATAAATAAGTGAATAGAAGGTAAAGCATCTCTTCAGTCAACAGTAGACTGAAGATATAAAGTCTTCCATCAAAAGCACACATCTGCATGAGCTCTGTGGATTGTACCAACATCAATCTCTTGGTTTTGATATCATATTATAGTTATACAAGTTATTAACAGTGGAGGAAGCTGGGTGAAAGTGCATGAGTCCTCCTTGTACATTTCTTTGCAGCTTCCTGCGTATCTGTAATTATTTCAAAATAAAATATTAAAAAAAAAAATATCAGTAACATTCTATACCAGCTCTGTTTCACTGAAATATAACATGAACCACAAACGTGAGGCACATCACGTAATTTTCTAGTAGCCACTTGACCTAATACACCAAAATTTATTTTGACATGTAATGAATATAAAAACATTAGACTACAATATTAGATATTTTAATTTTTCCAAAATCAGGTGTGTATTTTATACTTATAGCACATCTCAATTCGAACTAGTCACGTTACAAGTGTTCGATAGCCCTATATGGTGGCTACCATATTGGACAGTACAGTTTTATGCTTTAAATTTGGTGGTCAGTATATGGGATTTTCTTTTGTTATTCTTCAAGTTCTGAATATATTATATGCATTCTATTGCGTGTATATCACAATCATTTTGTGGAAGAGTAAAGGGGAAACATGTTAACACTTAGGGCCCATTTACAAATAAAAATGCAATTTTATTCTTAAAAAACAAAAAACACTTCTTTTTTTCATTAAAACAGAAATAAAAAGTGAAGAGATTTCTGAATCCCAGAGTAATGCTCAAAAGAATAAGAGTCACGTCTCATCCAAGCACCAAGGATCACAAGTAGAGACTGGAAAAGAAGACACCGTGATAGGAGAAGGTAAGCTTGGACCATGGGGATGATTCCTACAAGAGAGTCTCATTGTGGATGAACTCTAGCCTGAGCCTCCCCTTGGCTTCCAGTTTCTGAATTAATTTAGTTTATAGCCCCTTCTTTAGTCTTCGTTACTTCTTCTCAAGGAAATTATACCGCAGCATAGGAAAACACAAGTCCAGCTGATTCACTCAACTACCAACCAATTATTCAAGTTGACATTTATATATTTTCTTCTTAGTAGAAGATTATTGGTTTAACATTTGAATTCATTACATAGAGAAAGGGAAAACCAGAGTATTAGGCATATAATCTTTAGCTGTTGCATAGCTGCCAGTTGGCAACATTATTGAATTTGGGAAAGAAAAGAATGTAGTTGCTGAATACCAACTATGCAAATTAGATTGAATATAGAACCCCCCAGAAATGAGTCAGCTTTGTTAAGCTCTGATTTGTTGTTTAGCCATACTTTTAGCAAAATGTATTATTTGCTTACGTTGTGCATTATACCAGATGATTTTGCTTGTTAATGTTAAATTGTAATTAGAATTAAGGCCAAGCAGACAAAAGATAAGTATTTGCCTCAGACCAATGCTTTGTCCTTGTCCTTCTAAGGACACAGAAAATAGGAAAGCAGTAGGCAGAGCATGAGCTGGATTTGCCAAGTATGGATGTGGTGTATGAAAAATATTCATATAATTTCCGTGGGTCTGAAACATTTTGCAACATCCACTCTAAAGAGCAGAATATTTCTGTTTTTTCTGGGTAATAACCAATTATTGTGATATTTTCTGCTTGAAAAGGACTATAAATCTTACTGGTTCTGAGTGCGTATTTAATCAAAAAATAGCAGTCCAATGTTGTTCTGCCTCTAACTAGTGTAATGAACTCTGGCAAGTGTGTGTGTGTGTGTGTGTGTGTGTGTGTGTATCACTTTGTGTGACTGTTTGTATTTTTTCCCATGGAGGAAATGAAGTTTTTTTAAAAAAAATTCCCAACAAATTAGCCAGCCATACTTCAGCCCCTGGACCTGCATCAAAATGTGGTAGGGGGTGTAGGTGGGTGAAGGTGTGAAGAATGGAGACAGAGATAAGGGAACAGGAACTCTTTCTAGATTCCATCTAAGACTACTTTAATTTTGCCTTCTAGAAGCCTCTTGTCTGCAATATTGCAGCAAATTCAGGATAGGTGTTTGAAAATGTTCATCTGAACCCAGCTCTGTGAAGAACAGAATATTCAGCTGCATTCTTCAGTGATTGTTCAGTGATGCTAATCTCTCCCCTAATCTCATATGGCCATCCACATGAATCTTAGTTGCCCTGCTTAAATTAACTACATTAAGCAGTCCACAATGCCTGTTTTATTAAGGAGCATTTTTTATGTGGTGGCTTATTAATAAATTATCAGCAATGAGACAAGAGACAGGGCTCCTGTGGAAGAGTTTACATGGAAGAGATGGGAGTATCAGAGGCCATTTTATTAGGACATCCAAGTTAAAAATAGAAAGGTGTGTTATCCGAATCCTCCCCTGGGGATTATAGCGAATTTCTTTCCTTATCTTCTAAGTTTTGTCCAAATCTTAAGAGCATTGTTTCCAAGGCAAGTAATGAGCCATCTCCTGCTTTTCTTTGGAAATTATTACCAGCTAAAAACACCTAATTATTGGTAGCTTTAAATAAATTTGGTTTTATTTTATTGTTTCCATGGCACCTTAATTTCCCTGTCCTTCTGTGTTTTTAAACTTTTGGCATTTGCTGATAAAGTGATTGGCTGTCTCCCTCACGAGCACTTTGCATTCACTAAGCACCACCACACCACTATGTTGTTTAGCGATGGAATTGCGCATTTTCACTGTCCAGTAGATTCAGACTGCAAATTCACCATGTTAAAGCTTTTACTAAAAATTGTGTGGATGCAATAGGGGTGGTAGAGAGTTGTGATGGGGGAAGAAGGGAGGAAAGCATATGTCCCTTGTATTTGACTGTTATGAGGGTTTATGGATATAGAGCCCTCTGAGCCAGCTTTTATTTTTTTTAATTTTTTTGTTTATTGGGGTAACATTGGTTTATAACATTCTATAAATTTCAGGTGTACATCATTATACTCCTATTTCTGTGTAGATTACATCATGTTCACCACCCAAATACTAATTACAACCCATCACCACACACATGTGCCGAATTATCCCTTTTGCCCTCCTCCCTCCCCCTTCCCCTCTGGTAACCACCAATCCAATCTCTGTCTCTATGTGTTTGTTTGTTGTTGTTATTATTTACTACTGAATGAGGGAGATCA